GAAGGGACTTTCAATACCCAAAATTCCACCTGTTTCGTCATGCTTCCTGCTTTGACTGGGAGGATTATCTTACCCACTGGCCATTCTGGCATTGAGTTGAATTCGATTAGGGGAGATGTGGGCGCCATGTCTTTGTCCTCCAATTTCAGTTGTTTGAAGGTTTCGTAGTACATTATCTCACATGAGCTTCCTTGGTCGATCAAAATCCGTTTGACGTCGAAATCCTTGACGCGGAGAGTGATAACCAATGCATCATTGTGAGGGTAGTATATCCTTACCAAATCTTTGTCCGAAAAACATATGACATTTGCGGCCTCTGTTCTCCCCTTTTTGATGGCAGGTTGTGCACTTAATACCTCCCTTAAGTGCTCAGTCTTTTTGATTATCCCCCTGAGCTCACATATCCGCTCAGGTCCGAATATCTCATGTATCACATTAATTACGCCTTGAGGTGGAGCGTCAACCGACATCCCGTTTGGGACGTTGTGGTTCTGGGGGGCTAGCTGTGTTCCTCCTTCTATATACTGGTCCAAATGCCCAGCTGCCACTAACTCCTCCAAATGTTGCCTCAACGGCGTGCAATTTTCGGTGCGATGCCCCTTTTCATCATGGAAGGTGCACCGGGACCTCTCGTCATAGTCCTTCTGTGCTTCTCCTAACTTAGCTGGTCACCGGACGAAAGGTTTGTCTCGTATCTTACTGAGAATTTGATAGATTGGTTTTTGAACACCGTGGTAATGGCAATGCGAACTCTTAGCCACCTTTTGTCTGGATCTTTTTTGTTGGCCTGTCTGCCTCGCCCGTTCTTGCTGGGGCGTTTTACTGTATTGACTTTTGCCATAGTCTTTTCATCTGGCGTTGCTGCTGTGCCAGATTTTGTTTTAGCACGGGCGCCATCCTCCTCTACGCGAATATGTTGGTGCACTTGCTCTATTAAGGCCTCCATTGTGAGGGGTGGCGCCATAGTGATTGAGTCCCTCAACTTGTTTCTGACTGGCAGACCCTTTTTGTATTGCGCAATGGCGAGATTTGTGGGGTAATCTCCTATCTGGTTGAAAGTTTCCCAGTAGCGACTATTGTAGGACCTCAATGTTTCTTTGTCGCCCATGTCAATAGAGAGTAGCTGATCGATCTCCACTGGTGTCTTGGTGTTCGTTCTAAACCTTGTCACGAACGCCTCTGCCAATTGTGCCCAGGAGGCGATGCTGCCTTCTGGTAGCCTTTTGAACCAAGTTAGGCCCAGATCGCCTAGGCTGGATGGAAACAGGATGCACATTAAAGCCTCGTTTCGCCAGTATACTGTCATAACCTGGCGAAAGTGGCTCAAGTGCATGTAGGGGTCCGTTTTCCCCTCATAAGTGGTGAATTTGGGCTGGTGAAAGCCCGAAGGTAGTGGTGCGTTCTCAATTGCCGAAACGAACGGCGAGGTTTGCAACCTTCCTAATGCTTTGTCTGTTGGTTCATAAGCAAGGCGAGGTATTGGCATTCCTACCTCGACGCCGCCATGCGTCCGAGGGGCCAACCGTTGAAGGGCTGAGACTCTATGCGGGTCGCGTGCCCTGATATCTTCCTTCCATCGTGCCCTTTCTTCTAGCATAGTTCGCAAATCAGATGATCTAGGCAACTTCGTCTGCCTAGATGACGTCTGGTGCGTGCGTGAGGGCCGATAGGTGCTTCCCTCAGTATATGACCTCTCAGTTCTCGTTCTCTCAGACCTGGAGTAACGAGTCCTGGGAGGTCTTGATTGAGTGTCGCGTGTTCTCAGGCTCCTACTCTCTACTTGCGATGGTGCGGTATGCCTACCACGATCTTCCGAGTGGCGATGAGGTGTATTGCCTTTATGCCTCTTTCCTGTCGCCACCCCTTTTCCTTTTATCTGGCACTTCATCGACTCCATGTCTGCTGTCATCCTTCTTATTATCTCATCCTGCTCCTTCATGCAATCTTCCAGAACTTGAGGTTCCAACCTCCGCCTCTGTCGTTCTGGACTTTGAGAGCGACGGGAGCTGTTAACCCGCCTCCCCCTTGCATCCTTCCGGGGGTTTTGTCGCTGGGGTTCTAAATCTGCCATGGGAGGGATGGAAGGCAAACCTTCACGCCTCCCACCTCCCTCTGGGGTTTGTTCGTTGATAGCGGACTGTGGCAAATCTTCATTGTGCGCCATTACTTCCAATTAGAGAGGAAAAACTTGATCAAGAGGTTTTATTCTTTTTGGAATTTCCTACAGACGGTGCCAATTGTACGAGCACGAAATAATTCTTCTCGTATAATTCTGTTGACCAAGTCTGCGCTCCTCCACACGTCGCCGTTTTACTCCCTGAAAACATAAACGTGAGCTAGCCGGCGGGTGTGTGCCGGATACCTCTCCGATGCCTAAGTCAGCAAAATAGACAAATAGACAAAAGATCTGTGTATTCGAGAATCAAAGTTGTGTTACCTCTCCATAGGTGATGTTGTGAGCTTTTATAGGTTCTGCGTGGCATAATCCTAGTGGGACTCTTATTCTTCCATGTAGAGTCCTCCTAGGAATCACACTCCTGAAAGATAATGCTTATCCTTCAACACCCCCTCACTGCTTAAACCAAGTGAGATGGTTTTACCTCGGTAGTATGACAACACGACTGAGCTAACATAGCCATGCTAAAGTGGCATAAATGACTGAGCTCCAACTAGCTCGGTTCTTCTCTTTATTGTTTGTACCTCAGTTTCGCCTGTTGAGACCGAGCTAACCATAGCAAGCTTGGACCGAGCTAATCAAGAGTAAGGTCTGGAGGAAGGCTCAAATCATCTCGGCTTTGAATGGTATGACCGAGCTGATTACACCATACCGACCGTGGTAACCATAACCACAAATGGACCGAGCTAACCGCATGGTCCTTTTATTGGGCCCTTTTGACCGCGGCTCACAGAACGACCCATTATCACGCCTTGGCCTAGCTAGGTCCTAGTGCACATAAAAACTTCCCTCTCATTAAGTATTTTTTTTAAAATTTTTTAGATGCACTTTGTTTACATGTATCTAAAAAGTAAAATATTTATAAAAAAATATTTTAAATAATCAATAAATATACAAAAATATGAAAAATGTACCGAATTCTAGTATTTTTTTTTTTGTATTTTTGATATTTAGTGAATTTTCTATAATTTTTTTTCACAAATATTATAATTTTTAATTATATTTATGTTAGGAGTATCTAAAAATTTTAAATATTGCTTAGAATGTTAAAAAATTCAGTAAAAATAAAAAAAATATATGAAAAATTAAATTTTTTAATTTTCTGAATAGTGAATCCTGAAAATCCAAACTAAATGTGATTCTAATAGATAACTTTTGATATTCGATCATATTAATTTTTTTATATAAATGTTATACTCAGTGAATACTAAAAAGTGAACAATTCGAATAAGTGACGTCCGTCCCGAAATGGGTCTACCAAATCTAAACAGTCTCTCAAGTTGCTAACTTGAGAAAATTCGAATCCTATTTTGTTTTTAGAGACAAGAATAATAAAATAAAAAATATTATGATTATCAGATTAAGTTATTTTTATTTTTTATTTTTTATTTATTTTTTATTTTTTCTATTCTACGAATGATATACACGAAAGATTACAAAATGAAAAGCTCGGATCATTGAAACAATACCCAAGGTGAGTCCCACAAGCCTTCAAATTCTGTTAAGTTGATATTATGAGGCACAATAGTGAGTATTTTAATTAGAAATGAAAATACCATAAAAGATCATATTATTCTGTGTAATTTTTTTGTATAATATTGTTAATAATACCAAAAAAAAAAAAAAAAAATTGGGAAAAAAAAAAAAAAAAAGATTCATTGATTAAGGGGGAGCCTCCGCCTTTTCTCACCAAATATCCCTTGATTCCTAGTGGTTTGAACATATAGAGATAAATAATTTAAAAAAAATAAAAAATATTACATATAATTTTGTTTTTTGGTCTCATTTTTCCATTTCAAAATACAAGTAAATAAATGGCACATTCATGACACTCATATTGAGAAAAAGAAGTAAAAAAAAATAAAAATGAGATTATGTATATCATTAAAAAAAAAGGAAAAAAAAATAATTTTAGCCTCATTTGATTTGTGTTTTAAAATATTATTTCAAAAATAATATTCTGTAAAGAGTTTAAATTTTTTTTTAAAATTTTTGTTGTATATTTTGAAAATAGTTTTGGACAGTTTAGGATGATTTGATATTTTTTGAAATGTTTTGGGAAGATGATAAAAAGTAATTTTTTGGCTTTTAACCAAACTTTTGACTTTTTTAGACAAGTGATTTGGAAAGTTAGTAAAAAATCACTTTTGATTTTTTTATTAATATTTGTTTATGATATCAAATTACAATAAAATGACCAAACTACTCTTATTCAATTTAAAATATTTATAACTTCACTCATGTAGCACATTTTAACTCATGAGGGGTAAAATTACAATTTCACCAGTAGCTGAAAATCAACTTCCCAAATATCTTTAAATACAAAAAAAAATCAACTTTTAACTTTTACTACAAACGCACAAACATGGCTAAAGCCCAAGTACCTAAAAGAGGCCTTTGTAGTTGCATAGATCAGTATGAAAGAAAAAGTAGGCCCGTTTGGAATATCAGTTTGGGTTAAAATAGTCATATAGGACAAAATAGACTATCTTAACTAAATAATATAAAATATCATAAACGAAATTTTTTAGCCATAAATTAAAATAGTTAAAAAATCAATCCATATTCCAAAACCAACCCCAACAAAAAGAGAGGATAGAAAAATATAATTGATTAATGTATATTAAAAAAAATAATTTTAAATTTTCAACTATTTGTTTTTGAAATTTTTAAAAACACATGCCTTTGTGTTTGTAATTCCAACATTCTTGGCTCCAACTTCAAGCCACGCCGCCCAACCTGCCCTCTTGTTTTCTCTCCCTCTCCTCTCTCACACTTCTGAGCTAAAAAACGTACTACCTGAAAACGGTAGCAGTACACAAACTTCATACCACCTCCATCAAACTCAAAACCCATCTTTATCACTCTCTCTCTCTCTCTAGACTCTTCACTTTCTCTCTCTTGCATGGCCGCAAACAGCAAACCACAGTCTCTGTCAGTCCCACCCATCAAACCCAAAACCCATCACTCCCACACCACCACCAATGGCGATTCAAGCGAGAGCAGCTCTTCCAGCCCACCACCATCGCCTCGCCGTCCCTCCGCCGCAGCCCAATGCCGCCGGCGCCGGCTTCCGCACAAAGTCGAATCCCTTTCCAGCCGTGAGAGCATCATCGCCGGAATATTCCCCCGGCGAGGCCTCCGGTACTTTTTGCTTTTGCCTCTTCTGTACGTCTCGGGCTTGATCATGTGTGTGGGTCCCTTCTCTTCTTGGATGCGACCCCGTCCTTTGCCTGGATCGGTCTACCGTAGCCACGAGATCTTTCTCAAGCTCTGGGATGATATTCGCTCTGACAATTCGTCGGGAATTGAGGTTTGCTTTATGGGTTTTCCTCTGTTTTTCTGATTAATTTCTGTTTGGTTGATGAGAAAATCAAGAAAAGAAAAGAAAAGAAAAGAAAAGAAAGTAGTGATTGTTAGATATTATTTTTATAAGTGGATGTTCTGGTTAATGGGTTTCTCTTTCTTTCTTTCTTTTTTTTTTTTCAGTAATTTAATCATACACCTTTTGTTTTTTCCTTCCCTCCATGATTGGTTTAAATCCGGAGCTAGACCCTATTTAACAAGTAGGTTAAATGTTAAAAAATAAAACAAAGGTAAAAATATCAAATCATACAGTGGGGTCCACAGGTTAGAGCTCTTCTAGAGCTCACAATTTAGAGGTCTCAAGCATTTTTCTTGTTGGATATTAGTTTTATAAGTGGATGTTCTGGTTAATGGGTTTCTCTTTCTTTCTTTCTTTTTTTTTTTCAGTAATTTAATCATACACCTTTTGTTTTTTCCTTCCCTCCATGATTGGTTTAAATCCGGAGCTAGACCCTATTTAACAAGTAGGTTAAATGTTAATTTATTAATTTTTTTGATATATATATATTTTTTTGTCATATCATCTTCTTACTTTTGTATCTGTTTTTGAAAAAAAAATTTAAAAAATTAAGAAGTTGAACTTTCCAAAATAGGCCAAAGAGCCGAGCCTCTCGTTGCTAGTCACTCAATCAATAGTGACAATCATGTAGTGGTAAGTGACAGATTCACATATAGGTGGGATTCAAACTTACGCTCCTAACCTTGGACATGGCTTGCCCAAGTCTAAAAGGTGCGTCATATCCTGCACCCAAGTGACTAGTTCTAGAGAAAGTGGAACTAGGAACTCAGGGCTTTTGTGTAGCCAAACAAGCTCAATTGTCGGATAAATAAAGCAAACATGCAAAATGTTTTGGGAGAATGTCATAAAATGGAAAGATGGTAAAATAATTTGAAATTCATGAAAGTACAAGGGGCTCATGCACTAAAATAATGCTGAACTTACTGATAAGTCTCATGTACCAAGTTCAAGATCCAGCTAATCCCAAAACAAAACACTTGCACCAATTAGTCCAATACATTTTTAATTGTTACCAAAAAATCTTTTTTTTTTGTTTTTTAATTTACAGACACTGTTCACATCTTACTACCGTCGGGCTTCCATTTAACAGTCGCCGAAGACTCACCGGAATGTTTAGAATATTGCCGGGAAAAAAAAAATTAAAAAACATATTATGAAACTGTAAAATTTTATAGTTCTAAAGAATGTTATAAAACTGCAAAATTTTACAGTTTTAAACCATGTTTCACCAAAAAAAAATTTTGAAATTGTAAAATTTTACAGTTTTCACCGCTTGTAACTAAAACTCGAAAACTACTTGTTCAGAATTCGAAAATTTTCTTTATTAGAACAGAAAAACAGAAGTGTATAGCAGAGAAAAAAAAAAGAGATCGAAGGAGAAAGGCGGATGTAGAGAGAGGATTATACTCCGACAACTATTTTTTGTTTAGATCTAACCAAATCTGATGTAGATCTACTCAGATCTGAGTAGATCCACTCATCTTCTTCGTCGGAAATATATTTCTTCGCCGTCGGTGAGAGTGAAATCATGAGTTGATTTCGATGGTTGGCGGTTATCAGTGAACCCCGATCAATGGAGAAAGACATGAACACTTGCACCATCGTCTATGACGAAGACGATGAGAGAAAAATGTAGAAAAAAAGAGAAAGAAGAAAACGTAAAAAGGGAGGAAAAAACCAGAGACATGGAGGAAAGGACTTTTGGGTGTACCCAAAAAGTTATGGGATTAAATGGTGTCCACATGTTCCACGTGGGACCTATGGGTAATTTCCCCCTAAAATAATCACATTGAATATGTTGTTGCAACTTTGTCACTTGTCAAACTCTATAAAATATCACTTGACTTTTTTGCATATAGCTTTCCATATGTGGATGACGAGTTTCTCATTAGGGGGCTCTTTATAAGTTGAAGTATGCTATTTTAGTTTTATATGCTAAATTTTGGATCTAGATAGTTTATGAGAGGATTAGATAGTAGCGTTTTCTGATATGTTTTTAGTTTATTTAATGTGCACATGTAAACTTGAAGATTTTGCAGTTGAATACCATCAAAACTTGTTTCATTCCCTTCTCTTACTTGGTAATTAGTACACTGCTGGAATTTGATGTCCTCGGAAAGCGACATAAAGATTGTGCTTTCGATCGTTTGACTGTTTGATGGACTAATTTATTGAAAACACAAAGTGGTGAAATTGCTTTTGGAATTTATCTACCTGTGGAGTTTGTATTTGACATTATGCATAAATATTTGTAAGATATTGTTTAAAAAAATAAATTAGAAAGAAAAAACATAATTGGAAAAGATAATTAGCAATGAGAATCCAATGAACTTTTCTGAAACTGTTGATTTTGCTAAAGAAAACTATCCGTGAAATACCTTGTATTCCAATTTTTATGATTTTAATTCCAAAATGCTAATTTTATAAAAAGGCGATGTTAGATTGTATACATAAATTAGCCAAGTTGACATGTTGACTCTTGTTATAGTTGTCCACTCTATGGAGATACAGGAGGAAGCTCAAAGAGCAGAAACCATGCCCAGAAACAACTTCTGGCCGAAATTTTGGTATAAGGATTTTAATTTTGATCCTGTTCTTGATTTGTTCTTTCTTCTTTTAACAACACATTTTAATAATTTGATGAAGTATCTTTGCTATCTGTACTGTGTGTAAAGGAAAACTACTAATATTTGGTAGATGGAGTAATATTATAGGACGTGACATTTGCAGTGATAACAAAAGTTAAGGATTACATAGCTTTTTGTATATGGACTAATGATTTTGTTTTTTTCTTTTCATTTTAGGGTACTCTGCACATTACTTGGTTGTTGAAGCTAATGGTGGCCTTAATCAACAGCGCTCGTCGGTATATGATTTCTCTTGTAAAATTAATCATCAATTTACTGTTGTTCCAATTTCTATATATTTTCTAAATGCATTACTATATCTAGATCACAAGGTATAAGTCCTTCCCAAAAAATTGTAGACTGTGATATATATATATGTGTCTCGTGTAAAATTTTTGTTTATAATTCAATTTTTCTTTCAAGGAAAATGAAGGAAGGAGATAAAGGTTAAAATCTTATTCATTTGTTTTTTGTTTTTTTTTTGTTTATAATCCATTATCTTTTTTTTTTCCTTTTTAATTAAAATTACCCGGCAGATTTGCAATGCGGTGGCAGTGGCTGGACTTTTAAATGCGACACTGGTCATCCCTCACTTTGAGTTCCACAGTGTTTGGAAGGATCGAAGGCAAGTTGTGTTTTCTTTTTTCTGGAAAATAAAAAATTTGTTTTATTTTTTATATTCATTTTCCTTTTCTTGTTTTTGGAAACAAAAGTGCCTTGTTTTCAGAAAACTTTCCCAAAAACAGTTTTTGGAAACAATTTGCCAAACATTTTTTTTTTCCTGTGAAAACATAGAATAAAAAACGAAATGCACAACCAGACAAAGCTTGTATTATTTCTCTTTTGTCATTGCTCTTCTATTTGAATTATATTACAATTAATCGAGCAATCTTCCATGACAGCACCATTTAAGTTTTGAAGTTGATGATAGTCTACAAGAATATATGATATAAGATGTAGAAAACAATGTCTCATTCAAAAAGATTAGCCTGGAAAAAAGCCCTTAAGTTCATTTTTGTAAGATACGAAACTTGGGTAATGCTTTAAATATTCCCCTTGGAGGCACTTGCAAAAGAATATAGAAGTGAGATATAACAAATAACTTGTGTGTATTTCACCTCAGTCTCTTGGTGTACGAAGGAAATGGTATAATTAACCTCTATTCCTTTTCTTTCTTTCTTTCTTCCTTATTTTATTTTATTTTTATTTTTATTTTTATTTTTATTTTTCCTTAGATTGACAATAAAAGAAAATTTATTAAAGAAAAGAAAAAGTACTAAGCAAAGGGAGACAAAGGAGTCTGCCAAGCAAAGAACAAAAGAAAAAGACTAGTACGCAAATGTCAAAAATGCCACCTAAAAATGACTTGCTGCACTCCAATCACTAGAAATTATAAAAAATAAAATAAAATAAGCGGAATTCACTTAAAAGGAGGAGAAATAAAAGACCATAAAGACGATAAATAACACATTTTATTCCATAAAGAATCAATTTCATCATTATGCTGCAACCAAATAACCTACATAAATGAGAAGAAAAATCAATTCCACAAGATTTTCACTTTCTTGTTGGTGTCATAACCTTTTTTAATCATCTTTTCTATATAAAACCTTTTGCGGGGTCGTCTTGTTCCTTTTTTCTTCAACTAGATTCTGGATGGTGTTATTGGGCACATATTTGTGTTTTCTTGTGTTGCAATTTTTATATTATTTTTTGGGATATTTAATGGGTATATGTCACTTGACCGAGATGATGTGGTGTCACCCTTCCACTAATTAATTGACATTAGTGAAAAGTGAGACCGAAATTTGATGTGGCCAAACATTCAGCACCTCGGACCAAGCAAAAAGTGACTTCTCGGGTCCCATTTTAATCACATGTCAATTAATGAGTGGTAGGGTAACACCACATCATCTCGGAAACGTGACGTACCCGTTACATAAAATACTCTCTTTACGATGGGAAGTGGGTTTCCCCTTGTAATAAATGCAGCAACCTGCCAAGTATATTATCTTGTTCTTCAATTTTTGAACAAATTATTGACTTAAATGTGCTGATTTACTCTCCGACTTCTTGGTTCCTAGGCCATATAATCTATGTACATTCAATCCTATGACATGCTTTGCTTTTTCTTCTTTAGTGATTTCATTTTTGGTGCCATGCAGTCAGTTTAGTGATATTTATGATGAGGAGCATTTCATTACCAGCCTTGAGGGTTATGTCAGAGTGGTTCGCAAGCTACCAGAGGAATTGTTGGAAGTATATGATTTCAACATCAGCAACATACCAAATCTGCGAGTCCAAGCTTGGGCTACGGCAAAATATTACTTGGAAGAAGTTCATCCTGTCTTGAGTAAGCAGCGGTAGGTACTTAATCTAGATCTATTTCTCTTCCTTTTGTCAATCCATAACTTAGAGTGCCGTAGGTTGTGTTTGGATCATGGAAATGAGAAGGGAAAAGTGAATGAAGTTGAAGCTCTTTTTTTTTTTTTTTTTTTCATTTTTTGCTTCTCTCCACAAATCCAAGAACTAATACTATCAGACAAATATAAAACAAGAAACACAATTAGTATTATATATATAACTCTCATTTAAGTTGCTTCATCCATTAGTGATCTACATCACTATCATTCGCCAAATTGCTGTTCCCAGAATCCTGACATTAGACTGTTGGATGATTCAATTTTAAATGAGCATTCTTTATTTGGCACGGGCTGAAGTTGCTGTAAAATATTGTGGCAGACCTACATCTTATTCCTAATCACTTACCTGGTTGATGCAGAGTTATCCGCATTTCTCCCTTTGCAAACAGATTGGCAATGAATGTTGCACCTCACATTCAATTTCTGCGATGCCTAGCCAACTATGAAGCATTGAGATTCTCTCTTCCAATAGCTACATTTGCAAAGAAATTGGTCAGCCGAATGATGGGCAAGAGCTCGAGCACTGGTGGGCAGTATGTTTCCATCCACCTTCGATTTGAGGAGGTACTTAATTTTATTTTGGATTTATCTTCTGAGAACATTTTGATTAAAGTAGTGTTTGGTTGGTTAGGATTTACAATCTTATGAGAGTCAATTAGTTATTGATCTTCAACTTGTAGGACATGGTGGCCTTTTCATGCTGCAAGTATGATGGGGGGAAGAGAGAGAATTTTGAAATGGATTCAGTAAGGGAAAATGGTTGGGGAGAGAAGTTCAAACGTAAAGACCGTGTCATTGCACCTGGCCTTAATCGAATCAACGGAAAATGCCCTATGACACCTTTGGAGGTTGGTTTTTAGTACTCTAATATTGCTTTCCTTCTCGGTTTCAGTTTCTTCCTTATAGTAAAAGATATTTGGAGATGATTATGTGAGGTTAGTCTTTGTAACCACGTTGCCTCATGTTCAGTTTGTTTTTTCTCTTTTAAATATGAAAATTAAATAGCTTATAGTGTTAATAATTTGACTTGCATGTAGTCCTCTATCTCGCCAGATAACCAATTCTTCTCTTTGCATATGTTTTTCTTTGTCTGCATAGGTTGGAATGATGCTTAGGGGTATGGGGTTTGCCAACAATACTCCGATTTATTTGGCCTCGGGGAAAATTTACAAGAGTGAGAGAAATTTAGCACCTCTACTAAAGATGTTTCCCCTCCTACAGACTAAGGAATCCCTTGTATCCCCAGAAGAGCTTGCTTCATTTGAGGTGAAATCTTTTATTGCCTCGTATTTCAACTCATTATTTTCATAGTTTTTACAGCGTTCTAATTCCTAAACCAAACTAAACGTTATGTCCCACTCAATTGTGGTCGACAGACTAATGTTTAGGCAATAGAGTTTTTCTGGTATTTTTTTTATGAAGCTTATGGTTTTCTTTCTCCCTTTGGGTTTTTTATGAAATAAAGAAAACAACCCGATTTATTTATTTTTCATTATGCTCTTTTTGCTTAAAATATGCTGAAAAGGTGGCCTAATTTAGTTCAAGCCACTTGATTGATTTCCAAGTTCTGTGGCTGAGATTGCACTATAATCATTGAGTTCTACAAATTTGGTTTAGCTCATATTTGTGTTTTAATTAATAGGGCTATTCATCGAGATTGGCCGCTTTAGACTACATGGTATGCCTGTTGAGTGAGGTATTTGTTACCACTCAAGGTGGAAACTTCCCTCATTTTCTGATGGGCCACCGAAGATTCCTGTATGATGGACATGCTAAAACTGTCAAGCCGGATAAAAGTCAGCTTGCTGTTTTGTTGCAGGACACAAGCATTAGGTAATCTTCCATATACCTTATGTTACAGCCCTGCTGTAGAAGATTGAGACTCTGTTTGGTTTTGGCTAAAAAAGCACTCTTGGCTATTTAACCCAGAAATAAAAATTATAAAGCTGTTTGGTTTCAGCTACAGAAGGGGGGAAAAACCACTTTTTTTAAAACGTAACTCACCCTGCCCGGCCAATGCTAAAAAATTACATTTTTTTTTGGAACATTTTGTATTTAGTAAATTTTTTATTAATTTTTTTACTTTTCAGGTCCAATCAAAAGAGTAAAATCCTTCTGATAAAAAAAAAGAGAAGATTTCAGTAAAGACAAAATAAAAAAATTTCCAAACCCTACCTGAGTTCTCAATAACAGAAAACAAATCTTTCAGCATTTGTCAAACATATCAGATTTTTTTGGAACCACTTTATTTTCAAAGAGCTATTGAAAATGCATTTGCAAAACCAGTCCTAAGTTTGGTGCATCTATGGTACTCAAGAATAAAAGTTGATCATCCTTTGGTGTGTTTGTTGGTGATCAGCAGCATTTGTTCAGTCTGATTAAAACCAATAATTGAGTTAAAACTACTGCGACATTACATGAACTGCCTCTTCTATGTTGCCAAAGATTTTAAAATCACATTCAGATACAAATCACACTATTCTTGATTAATATAAAATTTGTTGTACTTCAATTTCTAGCATTTTGAAATATTCCCTGATAATCAGCCAGATGAATTTTTTTCTTTGTTTCGTTGGTTCACAGTTGGAAGGTTTTTAAAGATCAAATGGAGGCAATGCTAGCAGAAAGTGATCGCAAGGGGATAATGGTACCTAGAGTTAAAAAAAGCAACCGAAAGTCTTCTGTTTTCACGAACCCTATGCCAGAATGCCGGTGTCTTTGGGAATCAAAAAACTCAACACTCAAAGCATGGGCCCGTACTTTTCATACGCCTGATCGATGACAGTACCCCATTAAGTGAAAAAAGAGGCTCGCTCTGCAGCTACTTCCAACTCACAGAGTCTCTCCATTCATATGATTTGAAGTACATTTTTCCTGATGCTTTAGTTGCCCTGGGTTTTTTGATGCATTGTTGCCACACAAATTGTACAGGTGATTTGGGTTTCAAAATTTTGACCACTGGTGGCAGATTCATTGTTCAACAAATTTTCTTTTTGACATTCAACATGGAGGTTCTCAAAACGCTCAAGTTGCTTCATGAAAAATCCATGTGTGCCAAAAGTACAGGACATAAATGTAAGACTATCCACAACTACTCATCAGCGTCTCATTTTGTGAAATTCTTCTGGATTCCTAGCACAGTTTGCTTCGGCTCTCATTGTTTGGCTGTGAAGACACTTGTCATCCTTTTGATTTGTGTACATTGCTTTCACATTTTGATCGGGAGGATGGTCATATCTGACGTGGTGGTGTTTTGGACGACAAGACATTGAGTTTGACCTTGCAGCTATGCTCTTGACATTCAATGGCTGTTCATGACTTGTTTGCAAGTTCTTCATAGTCAGTAAGCTTCTGATTCTGATTATAGTTTGTGTTTTCTGTTTTTACAAAGAGTTGTGTTTTCTAATGCTTTAGTTTTTTGTTACGATCAATGTTACCGTTTTTGTTTCCATACTGTTTCTGTTTCAAAACGTTCTATATACATTTACAGTAGCATAAATAGTATATTGTTTTTCCAACTATATATAGTATCATTGGGTAAAAAAGGTGATATACCTATATCTGTGTTCAATTTCAATTTATACGTCTCTCAAATGAATTAACCAAAAATCAACATTCTTCAATTCGTAGTAATTTTGTGAATCTCAATAATGATTATCTAGTCGTTTTCAAGGGCACTCATTTATTTCACTCATTAACAGAATATTATATAATAATTACAAAGCAATGATGAAATTAACGATCATCAAGTCGTTTTTAAGAACGCTCATTAACAAAATTTTATATAATAATTGCACGGCAAAGATGTAATTTGCCCTCTTTGGACGTGGATCGCTATGTGGAAAACACGGCACCTCCAAAAGAATGGGTGTAGACATTCTATTTTTGATTACCCTCAAGACTTGGGCGCCTTACGTTGAACATTAGATGATGAAATGTTATGTTGTGTAAATCGTTCAATTTTTTTAGGAAAAAGGCTTCGGTTTTGAGTTTCAAAACTTAAACCTTGCAACCCCTTTGGATTAAAACTTAATTTTTTCTAACCTGACCACCCAGAGACCTGCTGGCCAGCAAGTGGCCGGCAGGCCATTTTTGATTGGCCGGCCGTCTCCTTTCATGGCTGGCTGGCCATGTTCAGCGACAACAGACATTTTGAGATAACCAGTTGTCCTTAGGGGTGTAATCGGTTCGGGACGGTCGGTGTTTAGGTGAAATTTCGCACTGAACAAATAATGTCGATTTTATTATATTGAAAATCAATACAGATCAAATTTTTTTATTAAACCGCACCAAAACGCACCGATTCAAACGGTTCGGTTCAATGCGGTTTAATCGGTTTAAGTACTTTCAAAATTAAGTCATTTCTTAAATTTGTAGTATAATAAATAATTTATATAAAAATATTAAATTAGCCATTTGTACACAATTTTAACCATATCTAATCTAACCATTCACAAAAATACAAATAAAAAAATTAATAAATACTAAGGGTTGAAACTTTTACTGAATTAGAATTAGAAACAAAATATAATCTCAGAACCAAAGTCTTGACATTAAAACAAAATCAAAACTTAAAACAATCATCCCATAAGTCTAAACCACAAGTCTATCAAATAGAGTCAAAATATTCATTATATATTTAATATATATTACATGTAAATGTATTCGGTCGGTTTCGGTGCAAATCGGTGTATAGTATATCAAAATCAGCACTGAACCGAAAACTAAAAAAAATTAATTTTCAAAACTGAACAGACCGATTCTTATTAAAAAACCGACCAAATATGACCGGTTCGATCCGGTTCGATCGGTTTAGTCGGTTTTTTCGATTTTTCTTACATCCCTAGTTGTCCCCATGTGCATGTTTTGCATTAGCTGTCTCATTATAGATATTTTCAACGTGAGAAGGTGTTTTTCTATAAATACATGACCACCCCTCATGGTTTGGGGTTAGAAAAATTCTCCAAGTGCCTATAGCTTGCTTAAAATACTATCTCTCTCTCTTGCAATATACATACACTATACATACACTTCCTAAGCCTAAACTTGAGGCCTCTTGCTAAAATTGTTGAACATAAATTTCAACTCTTGAGAATGTTCAACTTGTGGTTTGTGAACTAGAAGAGTATCATCTCTTTAAAGGGTAATCTTTGAGCTTTTGTACCATCTTTTTCTATCTCTTTTCTTTGTTTTTTCACACTATTTTTCAGAGTGTTTTTAAGCTTAAAAATGTGATTTTAAGTCACAAAAAAGAGGAGGGCCTCCATGTTGAATGTCAAAAAGAAAATTTGTTGAACAATGAATCTGCCAAGGTATTACATCTCTCTCATGCTAAGCAAAACCTCTTGTTTGACACTTCCCTTTATTGACGGTGCAGTGCTTCTTAGGGACTAACTTTCTAGTTTAGACCCTTGGAAATCACCAAGGAAAGTTTCATTATAGCTTATTATAAAGTTTGGATTTAGAGTCATTATCGCTCATTTTGGGTTTGATTAGTCATTATCACTCTCTTTGAGTTTGACTAGTCATTATCGCTTATTTTGGATTTGACTTAGAATTTATTATCGCTTGTAAATGAGTTTGATTCTTTTTTTGTAATTTCTCCCGTAGAAAAGGGCTTGACAAGCTCATTTCTTGGGTCAAGTCATGCTTGTTATCTTTATTGCTTTTGGACTTAATGGACATAATCTACACTTTTGGACAAAAATGAAGAAACATAAGAAATGGAAAGGTAATGTAAAAAAGGTTAATAAAATTGGAGTAAAAAAGGTAAAAAAAGGTAATAAAATTGAGTTGGGTTTAATCGAATGTTATATTGAACCCATTGTGTCGTGGACCATTGCATATTTTTTAGTGATGTTCAATGATTCATGAAGCAATGTCCACCCCTTTCCTTAATGTAACTCTATGATATAGAGGAGTTGTTGTTCATCTTTTGTTTAATTTTATTGAGCTTTTGTCTTATCGGTTCATAGATCATCACGCAACAAATTTGTGACAATTGATAATTTGTGAATTGAATCTACTCATCGCTTGATCATTTCCATGATAGGGAAGGGCAGAGACGATAAACATCACCTGGAAACACTTTGTTTTTGCTCTGTTTCAGTCCTGTGGTAGTAGGGTGTCCCTCAAAAGTAGTGACCGGCCGGCCACCACTCTGTACGGTTGACCACTTTCAAGGCCGGCCGGCCACCAATTTTGCATAGGCAGTGGCATTTTTACAGCAGAATAGAACAAAATTTGAGGCCAAAACAGAATAATTTTATGACTGCAAACATAATAGATTCTGGCAGCAAACAAAGATTTTCGGGAGGATGTTTTCAGTTGTGTGTGTGCGGCTTCTCGCTTCTCGCTTCCCGTTCAAGTCCATTAATTAAGTACTTTAATATTAGTATGTGTAATTAATTAGTTAGATTCATTCGAATTTGTAATAGCTAGTTAATTTAGTTAATTCATTTGGTGTTGTAATAATTAGTTAATTAAGACATTCATTCGGACCCTCTTGTACGAGGGTAAATTTGTAACACTTGTAATATTTGTATGTCTTCCAACCCCCATTTTTTTCTCCCTTTTATTTATATGTTTACTATGGTAGCATCATATTTTTCATTTCATATCATTGTCATGTGTTGTATCCATTTTTGCATGCATTGGGTTCAGTTCATCATTCTAACATTGTTGTCATTTCTTACTTACTTGAATACGTGCGCTACCGCATACTTTGAATTGATTCGTAGGACATGTTAAATAAATCGGACTTAGTAGTTGCATTTTATATGTGTTGCATTAGTTGTAATGACCCAATTTTTTTTTAAAAAATAGTCAGTGCATAATTTAATTGAGCAAATTTTCAAATTTGATTGCTGTGTAAATTCTGTGTGAAAACAGTTCGGTTTTATATTTTTTAAAAATAGTTTCCGATCTCAGAAAATTATATAATTTTTATATGTTGTTCCCATATGAGTCTAGCACGTTGAATAAAAATTTCAGAATTAAATGATGAGTATTTATTTTATGAAAATTCACGGACTGATTGGTATTCAGTTTAATTTATAGCAAAATTTTGTTATTTAATTTTGAATGTTTAGATCATGATTTGGATAAATTTGTTAGGTCTATCTTGGTATATAATTGGACCATGTTTGGCTTATGAGTGGGACCCATGACTTAGATTTAATTTAATTTGAGCTTGTTTAGTGACTCTTGTTTAACTGTTTGGTCCTTTTTAATTATGTGATTGGTAGTAACTACCTTGGAAGTTGTTATTATTTATTATATAGGGGTTCTAATAAATATTTGATAGTTTATTTTATGGTGTGTACCATATGATGCAAAATTATATATTTTATAAAGAATAAAAATGTGTATATTTCGTAGTGAGCAAAATATTATATTTTGTGGTGTACAAAAATATTATATATTGTGGTGAGAAAAATTATATTATTTTATATTATAAAATTTTGAGATATTATTACAAATTTTAAATAATACAATTGTGTGGTGGATGACAACCCACGTGAGGTTGGCCTTGCTAGTGTGCTATTCTTTTCTTCTACTTTTACTTTTCCTTTCTTATTTTGAGTAGAGAGCTCTGCTCTCTTTCACCTCACTATCTCCCCCCCCTCTCTCTCTTATTTTCCTCCATTGTTGCTTAATCTTTGAGCTTTAAATAGGAGTCCTTAGAGTGAAATTTTGTAAAAGTGTTGCAAATGAAAGTTGGCGAGCTCGTCGTGATCTTCGCAATGGTGTTCTCAGATTCATGATCGGGTGATGTTTGCATTTTTGGATTAGTTTTTCTTCATATTTGAGGAGACTTTCTTCATATTCTACATTAAATTTTAAATAATACAATTGTGTGGTGGATGACAACCCACGTGAGGTTGGCCTTGTTAGTGAATTCTTTTCTTCTACTTTTACTTTTCCTTTCTTATTTTGAGTAGAGAGCTCTGCTCTCTTTCACCTCACTATCTCCCCCCTCTCTCTCTCTTCTTTTCCTCCATTGTTGCTCAATCTTTGAGTTTTAAATGGGAGTCCTTATAGTGAAATTTTGTAAAAGTGTTGCAAATGAAAGTTGGCGAGCTCGTCGTGATCTTCGCAATGGTGTTCTCAGATTCATGATCGGGTGATGTTTGCATTTTTGGATTAGTTTTTCTTCATATTTGAGGAGGAGACTTTCTTCATATTCTACATTAAAGTTATGTTAAGGTTATTTTGAGAAAATATATCATTATAAGAGGTATTGCATATATATATATATATTTTAGATTTTTGTTAGGTAATTTGTGGAAGAATAATTATGTTGGAATGTTAAGAAAAGTGGTATTTTGAGGTTGATTTGGGAACACCACCTTGTGTTGAAATTTTATTGCTAAAAATCAGAAAATTTAATTTTAATAGGTGTATGGATTGTATCTACATCATATTATGATTAGATGATTTATTTTGAGAAATATTAAGTTGAACTATTTTTTTTTTTTTTTTTTATCTTTGATTTGGAATTTATTTTTGAGAAAAATAGATTTATATTGATGAATATTGAGTAAATGCTTAAGTTGGAATTACAGAGTTGTTTTGGAATTAAAAACTCTAAAAGTGTTATATTCGTGATATTTTGTAAAAGATGATATGTTGATGATTAAGTTGTGTTCATTTTTATGAAAATAAAAATGTGAAATGTGGACGTTCAAACTCATAATGTAATGACCCAAAAAATATATATATTTTTAAATAGCTAGTGCATAATTTAATTAAGAAAATTTTCAAATTTGATTGCTGTGTAAATTCTGTGCGAAAACAGTTCAGTTTTGTATTTTTTAAAAATAGTTCCCGATCTGAAAATATTATGAAATTTTTATATGTTGTTCCCATATGAGTCGAGCATATTGGATAAAAATTTCAGAATTTAATGATTAGTATTTATTTTATGAAAATTCATGGATTGATTGGTGTTTAGTTTAATTTATAGCAGAATTTAAAATTGAGTTTTGGGTGTTCGGACCAGGATTTGAGATAAATTTGTTGGGACTATTTTGGTATATAATTGGACCATGTTTGACTTATGGGTGAGGCCCATGATTTAGATTTAATTTAATTTGAGTTTGTTTAATGACTCATGCTTAACTGTTTGGTCCTTTTTAATTAGGTGGTTGGTAGTAACCACCTTAGGAATTGTTAATATTTATTATATAGAATTATAATGAATATTTGATAGTTGATTTTATGGTGTGTACCATATGGTTAAAAATTATATATTTTATAAAGAATGAAATTGGGTATATTTTTGGTAGTGAACAAAATATTATATTTTGTGATGTACAAAAATATTATATTTTTGTGATGAGAAAAATTATATCATTTTATAATTTATGTTATCAAAGTTTAAAATATTTGACAATAAATTTTATATTAAGTTTTGTGATGTTATACCCATGGGAAAGCAAACCCATGTGGGGTTGTCCCCCACTCCCCTCCCTTTTTTCCTTTTTCCATTATACTTCTCCCTTTCTTCTCCATTTTTGTTTTTCCCTCATTTTGGTTAGCAGAGGGCTTGCCTCACTGCTTCGTCTCTCTCTCTCTCTCTCTCTCCCATGGATATTCAAGCTTTGAGCTTAGAATGTGAGTCTTTAGAGTGAAATTTTGTAAATAAAAGTCGGAGAACTCGTCGTGATCTTCGCAATGGTAGTCTTAGATTCATGATCGGGCAAGATTTGCCTTTTAGATATGCTTTTCTTCATTATTTGAGGTAGAGACTTTCTTCATATTTTTACATTAAAGCTATGTTAGGGTTATTTTGAGAAAATATATCATTATAAGAGGTATTGCATATATATATATATATATATATTCAGATTTTTGTTTGGTAATTTTTAGAAGAGAAATTATGTTGAAATGTTAAGAATATTGTTATTTTGAAATTGATTTGGAAAAATCATCTTGTGTTGGAAATACTTGTTAAAAATCCGAAAATAAAATAAAATAAATAATTGTATGAGTTGTATTTACCTCATATTATGGTTAGATAATTTATTTTGGAAAAATAATGTTGAAATATTTATCTCATCTTTGAGTTTTGGAATTTATTTTTGAGAAGAAAAAATAAATTGATATTGATGAATATGGTGTGAATTGTTAAGTTGAGATTATAGAATGATTTTGGGATTTAAGACTCTAAAAGTGTGACATTTATGATATTTTGTAAATGTTAATTTATTAATTTTAAAAAAGTTGTGAAATTGTGGTTTGTAGAGATTTGTGAAAAGTGGCAAGGCATGAAATGTGAGGGTATTTTGAGTGATGAGTCATGTGAATTATATTTAGTGTTATTAATTTGGAAGATGGTGAACTTAATGGATTTACTAATTTGATGAATTAAATTAGCTTGGTTAATATTTAAAATCCTTCGTAATTAAAGGGGTATTATTGGGTTTAAATTCCTAACTTTTAATATTAAAAGTGATGATGTTGACCAAGAATGAGATTTGGGGAAAGTAAGCGAGATTAAGTTGATGTGATATGATATTTGGTCCATAGTTTTATTACTTGAGTTATGTTATCATAATAATACCTAAAATTCATATATGAGATATTCGAATTGTTTTGGCGGATTTTGACAATAAAGGAAAATAATATGATTTTAGCTCGTTTGGAGCAAATGGATGAATTGGATTAAAACAAGAATGAGTTATCAAAACTTTTATTTATTTATTTATTTTTCCTGGGTTTAATTTGATGTGGTTGATGTTGATAATTGGAAAGTGAACACTCACGTTATATTTTATATTTATAGTCAAGAGAAGATTTTGATATAATTGATTAAATGTCTCGAGATTTCACTTGCATGAGAAAAATAATAATTTGATTCTATTTAATGTTTGGAATGGGGATGAGTTTTGAAAAGATTGTAATTATATTTCATTGATAAAGTATGTGAGTTAGAAATCGATGAAAACTTGAACCCACTTTGGTGTCATATATTATTGTTATTGATGAACCTATTACTTAGAAGTTTTAGTTTTGATAACTGGTAGGGGATTGCCACGTTGGTATTTAAATGAGGAGATTTTTGGAAATGTAAGAAAATGTTTGACTTTAGAAGTTTGTTTTATATAAGGAATATTGTTGAATTGTCTTGAAAAGACTAAGTTAGAAGTTGTTGATTTACATGCGGTAAATACATGAACATTGGCATTGTTATATTATCTCTTGGGATTGTATCATGATATTACATTGATAGGGATATGGAAATTGATCACAATGGAGAATTGTGTGAAGGAAAGTGGAAATGGAATCATATGAAGGATTGTACATTTTGCATTATCATTTTATCGAACCACTATTGAAATTGATTTTTAATCTTGTATTGGAAGGTTATGGTTTTAAAAGAGAAATTGTTTTATGAAACAAGATCTATTGTTTTGTTTTTGGTAAATACGTTGGTAAGTCCGGATAGGGGGTGTAGTTGGTGTTGGTTAAGTTGGCTTGAGTGTCTATGGTGAAAA